GATTACAGTTCTTCTGTAATCTGAAGTCCCTAAAAAACTTTACTTGCCAGCCAGGCAAGTTAAAAACGCAGTTCACTAGCCCAATCATAAAATCCAGTACCTCAGGGCTATTGCCTGGACACTACTCTATCTACTCTCTTTGCATATTATTTAATGTAATTTAGCTAGAACTTGAACCTTTGAATGCCTTTTTAAACAATATTTTTAGTCAGAAATATGAGTCAAACCTTCCGGATGAAATTAATAAAATACCTGTACAAGTGACTGGATAAAGTTGTGTACTATATGTTGTCATTTTTGCATAACAATACAGGAATGATTATTCTTGTATTGCTTATGACCAATTATTACGTGTAGTAAATTGTATAAAGTAATTAAATGTATAAATTAGAGGGCTGGAGTAGAAATTAGTGGGTCTTAAGTCACCATGGGAGTTTTTTGTGGGGGGTGGGGTGGGTCTGTGGCTAACATTATTGAACACGGGTTATTACACACTTTATGACAAATCATGCATTCTGGGAATACAAAACTAAAAATGTAATAACTACAAGACAATTTGAACCTCGTTAAGATTTGAATGATTTAGTGACTTAAGGAAACTAAAGGCGACCTAAGGCGACTTTAGGCGACTTAAGGCGACGTTAGGTCCCAGAGTAGGCCTTTTTAGGCCGGCTTCCCGGTGTTTGCTCTTTTTCAAGATGAACTCGAGGCAAGAAAATCGCTCAGAGCTTTCTGTTTACAGCCAAAATCATAACTAAATAATCTTCGGAACCTTTTCTTTGAATTTGCGGTCACAAACTGTCTAAAGGCTTTTTAAACCTGATACTATTTATGTAGGTTAGATCATTGCTCGTGTTTAAACTTACGCCGCATAAACTATACGCTCGACTTCAGGAAACCAAAAAAAAAAAAAAACACATCAAAGACAATAATCAGGCTTACCAGTCGAGATGCTGCTTCTGACGGTCATCATTTGTTGCAGAATCGCTTGAGACTTTTCAACCCTCTTACGCCTCAAGCTAGGGCAAGTGAGTAAGCACATTTTTGAAAACGATGCCATCCGAAAGCGCATTTCCAATGACTTTGACAAGCGGTGCATTTGTCAACTAAAAGCGCAATAAACAAACCAGCCTTGAATTACAGATCAATCTTGATAGCAGCTGTATTTCATTTTGCACACCAAGTAGAAAAAGACAGTTTAAAATATCTCAAGATGACACAAAACTCTGTCAGCTCCAGCTATCAGTAATGCTGCATAAATTTTCCGCATGAACTCACCTGTCAAATTTTGACCGATCAGAACATAAAAATTGGACGTAGAGCGTGATCAACGTGACAGTGAGAAAAGTCAAAAGCGATTGCCTTCCCTGCATGTAAATGTAAAAGCCGGTTGAATTTTCGCGTCCGAGGTCAGTTCGAAATCAACACTTTAAAAGTGCGGCTCATGAACACGACTTATTTCATATGCATTTTAAAAAACTTGAACTTGAGCCTGCGATCATTTGAAAAGCAGCAACTTGTCAGCGGATGCCTTCAAAAAAACACTAGAACTCAGTGGGTCGATACCTGAGACCTCGATACGGTCAGGCGATACTGGTCAGCAGAAACACTGTTTCGACAGCTGTCAATTAATCAAAACATGGATGTACAATATCAGGTTGCAGGCTCCCAAACTAGCTAGAAAGTGTGCGATTAAACATTGGTAGGCCTGTGGTGTGGACGGACGGAAGGTCGGATGGTCGGTGTAAGGTCACGTGATTGCCGAATTTTCTAGGATGGATAGATTTTCTAAGCTATGGGGCTTCGAATTGAGCCCGTGATCAAATAAAATAATCAGCTCAAAACTTTAAACACTACGTGACCTCAATGGATAAAAAAATGAGCCCGCGATACACTCAGGTGATAATGGTAGCGTATACTCTAGTTTGACAGCTGTCAATTAACCTTCATTAGAATGGCGAATATACGAATTAACAGACTACGAGTGTGAGTAAGACATATCCGTCCGGCGTTTAGTGGAAAATGCCAGATCGTGTACCTGAGCGAACCTGAGCCCACGTTATTAGTTTTCTGATAGTGGTCTGCACATGTCCGATTTTGACAGCTGTCAATTGACCTTAATTTGGCTTGCCAATATAACTTTAAACGACTGTCTGCCAGCTGACAGCGGCGTAGTTTCGTTTTTATGTTGAATTGGTAAGTGTGACATATTATATCAGTTTATATGTAGGGACAAAACAACTGGTCTTTTTATCTGAGCCCGCGAGATGGTCATGTGATAACTGTCAGCGGATGTCTGATTTTGACAGCTGTCAATCTATTCGTACTCATACGGATGGCTTACATAGCCAAGAGGCTAGTCAAGCTGTGCAAGATCTATTGTGACATTTGACATCGGCTTACATGAAGCGCGTGTACGGGTGGGCGGGCGTACGCTACGTCATAACCAAATTTTCTCGGATGGATAGTTTACCAAATTTTCTTATCCATGGTGTTCCGCTGCGCGCGCGCTTCGCGCGCGAGAGAGCTCCGCTATTATGGCAGTACAAACGTCTGGATGCCCAGAGTAAAAAATAAAAGCTTTGGCTGGGCGGCAAATCGTAACCAGCATCAGCATCGACTAAAATTTGTAGTAACAATTACACAATAATTTGCACTAAAAAAAAACCTGGGTAAAAATGATTTGATAAAAATGTCATAACAATAAATAAAAAAAACCTACAACGAAGCTTTATGGACGTCTTAATTATAAAATAAAAATTTTCATAAGTTAAAAACCATCGTTCATATAGCTGTCTATTAAATTATGAGAATGTCTAAGGTATGTCAATAAAACTTCGGTAATGTACAAGATTAAGTATCTGTTAAAATAGCTGTCCGAAATTGCTATAGATATCTAACCGCTCAGCTTGAACATTCTAGCAATATGTAATGAACTAGACAGGATTGCTTTTTGCATTTGGCGCACAATTGATTCACACTTGTCTCCTACAAGCTTTTTTATATTTTGCTCAACCTCTTTCGAACAGCCCTCAAGGACATCCATGATGATGTTATACTGATTGACCTTGTACTAAGGATATCGGTTCGTCAGCTCTAGTCTCAGTTGACTGTACTTAGTTGTCTTCTCGAAATCCTTAGACTCTCTATTTTTCAGCCATTGACCCCTAATCCCTTTATCTAACTTGCTTGCTGGTCTTTACTTGAGATGTGTCAGCGAATAATGGGACGTCCCAGAAGGCGGTCGCATGCTTATAATCATACAGCGGCTTAGGTGTGACTTGTGAGAACTACGGTTCAACTTTATTATTATTATTATAATCATAACTATAACAAAATTCTCAAATCTGATTGGCTATCAACTGCCCTGATTTCAGCCTTAATTGGACAGTTTGATAGGACAGTACGCGTCATGCCTAAGTAATTGGACAGTAAGCGCCATCACGTGCGAGCTTAAATGGCTTTTTTTTTCACTGCTAGCAAAACAAAATTTCAAATTTCTTGTGTTTTGATTTAAAAAAATAGCCTATTATATCACAAATTTTGTTAAAGTTATGATTAATTGGTAACAGAACTTCGTGTCGTCCAATTCGGTCTGTAATCATACTCTTGATTAAACAAATCGGACTCCCGCTACGCGGTCGTCCGATTTTGTTAATCACTCGTATGATCACACACCGAATTGGACTCCACTCAGTCCTGTTACCATTACTTATTATTATTATTATTATTATTATTATTATTAATACAAGAGCCATAATAGGACGGCTGTCCTATTATGGCTCTTGATCATTACTATTATCATTATTATTAGCATTATTGTTATCATCATTCCGGGGCTGTCCAAGTAACCTAAGTTGAAAAAACTAGGAGGTAGTGTTAGTGGGCGACTGGGTTATTTTGTCGATGAAAGATGTGTTTCATTCTTGTTTCCAAATAATTTTTTCCCTAAAATCACTTAGACCCTCCCTCTAAAGTCATATGAATCTGCCCTAAAGTTAACTGATTTGTAGATTACAAATTTATCTTTTGATTTGAATCATAATTTTTTAACGGGAGCTTCGCTTTTAGCCCTGGCTAGATCTACATGTTAGATTTAAATAATAACAGTTAATAAAATTAATGATAAAAAAGAGCTACAAATCTTACAAGGACTACAATTGTTACTTATAATCTCTTAAGATCTACAGGGTATGCGTCGTTGGCTAGAGTTAAAAGATTGTAAGCTAGATTTGAATTGGTAAGTCATTTCTATTAGTCAGATTGTTCGAAGCGATTGCAATGTCATCGTTTTTTCTTTTGTGTATGACAAGTTAATTGCAATGTTATTGGAATGTTATTTTGTATAGGGTATTACCGGAAGCGAACACAAGTAAAGAAACTAAGCTGCGAATCACTACGTAAATTCGACTCGTTGTCAAGGCAACACCTTGGGAACACTGGAGACTTTGCACTGCAAATTCGAATTCATATTCATATCTGCTTTTACAAGATTGTCCAATTTTAGCCGTTAATGTTGCTGTCGTGAATAAGTTATTTTTCTCTTTTTCTTTCTTTTGTACGGCAGTGCATTAAATTGAGTACAACACAAAAGAAACTTTCTGTATTTGCAATAATGAGGGACCCGTCACAACTGACATTAAAAGCAGCTGTATTTGGAAAATAGGGAAACTTTTCTTTAACTCAAGCTGTGTGTCCGAAGCGGGTCAAATTTTACAGAAAATACAATTATATATCAACTTACAATTCTTCGAACCATATCCTTTTTCCTCAGCGGGAAGGATAGTGGTTTTTATTATCAATGATAGTGGCCGGCTTTAAACGGAGAGGAAGATATCACATTTATTGCTTTGTTTAATAGCACTTCAGGGATTTACAAACACTTAGAAGCTTTATCCTAAATACATTGGAATAGCTTGTAAAACAGTCTCTTCTTTCCAATATTGTGTTCACTTGGTAATCAAGACTTAAGTCAAAGAAAGTCAAGAGTCGATAAAGCGATGTCTGAAGGGTTTCCGAAACTCAGTGATGAGTTAAGTAACAGAGAAAAGGCGCTGGTTGTCGTTGAAACATTTTTATATTCGCTGATAATTTTGGTTTCAATAATTGGTAATTCCTCTGTGCTTCAGGCAATTTACAGAAATTCTCAGCTTCGAACGATTCCTAACTACTTCATTGCAGCCTTGGCAGTGTCTGATATTCTTCTTCCACTTGTAACGTCCCCGCAGACCATTGCAGTGATAGCGGTTGGACGCTGGCCATTTAACCACAACGTCTGTCAAGCTCAGGGATATTTTGTGATTATATTTGCCTGTACATCTTTGCTGATCCTTACACTGACAGCCATAAATCGATTTTATCGAATAGTGCGAACGAAACATTACCGACGTATTTTCACCAAGGGGAAGACCGTAACCATGATAGGACTTTGTTTCATTTTGGCTTGCTTGGAGCCAATTCCTTACTTCTCTTTCGAAAAACGCTATGTTTTTCATCCCGGAAAGATGTTTTGTTTCCAGACGACGGAAATAACTATTCCAAATTTACTCGTTTATCTTTATGTCGGAGTACCGGGAGTAACTCTTAGCATTTGCTACTTTTGTGTTTTTAAAAAATTGCGACTTCATCGCCAAACTGTTCAAAACAATATTCAATCGGCTTCTTTGTCCACAATGGCTACTCAGAGGGATATCAAAATTACCAAGATCCTTTTTATCACAGTTATAGCTTTCTTGGCTTGTTGGACACCAATCCTTATCATAGATTTTGTCGACACATTTCAAGGTGACGTAACTTTTCCCAGGGAGATATATGTTTTGTATCTCTATCTGGGAAATCTTTCTGGGGCAATCAACCCACTTATATACGGAGTATTCAATAAAAACTTCCGGGAGGAATATATCAAGTTTTTTTCCTACGCAAAAAGAAAACGTAGAATTAAGAGCATTCAAGAAGCTTCAGAGGGAAGATCTACTGAATTGTTTACACGTTCAAACAAACACCCGAGGGGCAGGTGAAAAAAAAAAACATGAAACCTGACATGAGACGATGCAATGAGGTTTCATGCTTTGTTAATAAGGTGGAAACCGGCTCCACATGTATTGGCGTCTCCAATATTCATATGTAAAATACATGAAAATATACACTGAAAATACCCTTAATTTACTGACTGCAAAAAATATATCAAACAATTACAACACTCTTTCAATTTCCTTTTATAAGAATTTTTTTCGGCCCAGCCTGAACGTTCTTGTATTTCTGCCAATTTTATGCTCGAAATATTCTTGTATTATTCTCAAATTATAGCTTATGACATTTTCCTTCTAGAATGCAGTCGGGTATCAACATCCGTTAGTGTAGTTTTTTTTTCTTTTGTTTGCTAGTTTTGCTGTTTAGAGAAAGACAGTAGTACTATAATTTTATACTGGTAAGTTAATAGTGAACATGTAATTGTATAAATTGTATTTACAGATTTTCAACTCGCAAAATTATATACCTCCTTTTCAAAATATCGACCTCACGTTTATTCTTGAAGTATATTTATAATTTCGCCAATTTTTAGCCTCGATATTCTTAATCCCCCCCTCATAATCCTCTATGTGGAAGATCCCTCAAAAGTGGCATTCCAAAAGCTGTACCCAAGTGTCATAAACGTCCCATCCGCAATAACATTTTGAATCCAAGCGTAATAAAGGTCCTATCTGTATAATAGAGAGTTTTAGATTCGAGTTTACCGCGAACCTCTAACCACGGTTTGCGGTTACCCGTGTGCGGTTCGACGTTCAAACATAATTCGATTTAGATTGGCAGTGGATTAGATTACGGCCGCCATTTTGAATCAGCAGCCATGAATGGCACTTGTTTTCAAGATCAAATAGGATTTATCATATTCAGCATTTTGCCCGAATTTGTGCCTCTGTTAATGGATAAAGACTTGCTCCACAATATTTTTGTATCATTACGTGGGATAAAACAAGAAATATACGCTAAAAGCTTTCAGGTAAATGACATACGTGAAAACCTTCCTCCACACGTTGAAAACGCGTCGTAAACCTCATGATCAAATGTGACGCGAAAGACTTGTCACGTGACCTCCAGCTGTTAGTGGTTCGCGGTAAACTCAGATCTAAAACTCTCTAATAACATATAGACCCAAGTGTAATAAAGGCCATATTGTAATAATTAGCTTTATATTCAAACCGGTAATATGCCAACAACAAATCATGACTACCCTGGGTACCAGAGGTTTTTCTCGCTTGCTGCCGAAATTTTCGGTGTTGGCCGAAGGCCGCCACATCTTCGGCCATAGGCCGAAGCCACGAGCGGCGACAGAAACCGGAAACCATGCTAGAAAAGTCGCTGGCACCCAGGGTAAATCATGACAAATAGAGACCTTAAGATCGAGGTTTGGCCATCTTACCGCAAACGGCAAACCGCGGTTAGCGGTTTCACGTTATCAGTCTGCCCATATTTAGGAATTAAGATTCGCGGGTGGTAGCTCGTGGCTGCCATGTTTAATTTATTTTTAATCATTCGTTCACTTCTATTCTAGCTGAGAAATCGTCTTCAAAGTTACGCTTCCATGAAAAATAGTTCAATAATTAATTAACGAAGGAGTTCTAAAAAGAAGTATTTTCTGTCAAACGTGGGATTGTGATGGTTTAGAGTGCAAAAAACCTTGAGGTAAATCACTTACCTCTAGAGCGTGATCTTGCGGTACAAACGTGAACCTCAAACCGCAAACCTGACGGCAAGGCACTAGTCACGTGACTTCCTGACGTCCTAAAGGTCCTAAATGTAATAACTTTTGGCCCTTAATGTAATAAAGGTCCTAAGTGTAATAATCTGTCAGCTTTTTATATGCTTAGGGACATAACAAGATTTCATAGGGTTTGCTTTTAGCCTCATTACAGGTTAACTAAGCGCCAGAATGTGCCTAGGGAATATCAAACACTAAATACCCCAGGTAGATCAACTAAAATGAGTGCTCTATAGCCATTTGAGTAACATATTATTATTATTATTATTATTATTATCATTATCATTATCATTGATACTATTATCATTATCAAAAAAACATACTTTATTAAGGCGGCTGAACACAATTTTGGCAGTTTGTGAGTACATGTCATTTGCCTAATCATGGCAAGAGAAGGGTTGCATCTCAAAAGCTGAAACTTGGCAAGTGAAAAATATACTGATGAAAGATTTTGATTGACAGGTAAAATTTGGCATTTTCATAGTTTCAATGGCAACACGAACGATTGAATACAACCTTAAAATTTCACTTTTGCTCAGTTTAGAGAAAATTCACTCATTAGATTTTCCTATAAACTTGCACATAGCGCACTATAATTAATCATTACCATTTGAAACTTATTTGACCAAATTTTAACGTAGGAGTTTTTAGATAATCAGTAATATAATTATACTTGGTTTTTTGAAAACCGGGCTACTAAAAAATGTCAGTCTCTCGCACTGATTGTTAATTTGATGGCCCTTGTTACTTGAAAAGTAAAATCTCACCTCAAAAAGAAATTATTGAATACATGAGCTTCCATTTGATAGAATCGTCTGTCTTGAAGGTAACAAAAGTGAAGTTTTCCTCGTTACTCTGGAAAATAAGGCATTTTAAGAAGCAATTTTTAGTGTCGGTGTCACCGATTGCAAAGCCAATTCCCCAGTTCACCCCATTTTTAATTGAAGCTGGTCTCCCAAAAACAATCTAAGCCAACACTGCTCAACAAAACCAAGTCCTAAAACCAACAGTTCAACTGCTTGCTGACTAGGAGCATTATCAACAGAGTGGGTCATTGTTTGCATGCAAACAGCACAAACAAACTGCATAAGAGTACAAAAACACATCAAACTTTACAACAACCCCACTCCTCTGGAATTTAACCAGGCTACCCCAAATTTATACCAGACGATAGCCCCGTATCTGTGCAACAACATAACACCTAGCCAGACCCCCCCCCCCCCCCCCCCTTAATTTGAGGGAGACATTGAGCTTTGAAAGACAGGGGTAAGGCCAGGTACAAAAACTCAGCAAATCTGCACTCTAGCACAAAGCATAGTCTTTACAACAACCCCACCCCCCTGGAATTTAACCAGGCTACCCCAAATGCATACCAGATGATAGCCCCATGACTCTTCAACAACATGACACTTAGTTTGACGGAATCCCCCCTCAAAAAATATTAGCTGGGCCAACGGGGGCAACAGCCCGTCCCTAAGGGCCGGGCTGTTGCCCCCCTCGTGCAAATTTTCTGGAATTTGCACTGATTTCTGTCAATTCCAGGAAGTTATTTGGAGCCCATGGTTAAGAGGTGAGGGTGGTTAGTCCTGAAGAGCGAGATTGTTATTTTTACACTAAAAGTATCAGGGCTTTAAGCAAATTAAGTTTTGAAATATTGCCTGCAATGTGCTGGACTTGACTTAAGATTTCAGGCAACCCGGTTTTCAAAACTCCAGGTAGATATCTCCAATTATTGACCTTTCTGCATCTTAACTGTCAATTCGTACCAACATTTTTATTTTTTACAGTGAAGGAGGCATTTGGATGGTGAATCCCTGGAGATATACACCTGTTTTTTTGAAAACCGGGCTACTAAAAAATGTCAGTCTCTCGCACTGATTGTTAATTTGATGGCCCTTGTTACTTGAAAAGTAAAATCTCACCTCAAAAAGAAATTATTCAATACATGAGCCTCCATTTGATAGAATCGTCTGTCTTGAAGGTAACAAAAGTGAAGTTTTCCTCGTTAATCTGGAAAATAAGGCATTTTAAGAAGCAAATTTTAGTGTCGGTGTCACCGATTGCAAAGCCAATTCCCCAGTTCACCCCATTTTTAATTGAAGCTGGTCTCCCAAAAACAATCTAAGCCAACACTGCTCAGCAAAACCAAGTCCTAAAACCAGCAGTTCAACTGCTTGCTGACTAGGAGCATTATCAACAGAGTGGGTCATTGTTTGCATGCAAACAACACAAACAAACTGCATAAGAGTACAAAAACACATCAAACTTTACAACAACCCCACTCCTCTGGAATTTAACCAGGCTACCCCAAATGCATACCAGACGATAGCCCCGTATCTGTGCAACAACATGACACTTAGTTTGACGGAGTGGTTTTTTTGTATGTTATTCATATGCAAATCAAATTCTTACCCCTGATTGGCTGTTGAAAATAATGACATCATGAACCTTCGGCCCAGAGGTCCCACAGGTCCAAGAACCAAAACAAACCAAAGTTAACCAAACATAATGGAAACTGTAGCCTTCTCGGCTTTGCGAAAGCTTCCTTTTAATCAGGTTTTGTTGTATCTTTCTGACCGCTGGTACATTTAAAAAAGTACTTAGCGCTTTCACGTTTTTTTCCGACGGGCAATTTTGATTTTAGCTGAAGTTTTGTATAATATTGAAATACTTGAAATGTTCGTCGGTGCGTTTGCTTTCAGTCGGTGATCACAAGAAATACTTTTTGTACGGTTAACAGTGATCAACATCAATTTACATTCTCGCTATATATCCTACCACTGAGCAGTATCAATCATAAAAGGCTGAAAATAGAGGAAACTGCTCAGCAGCAAAAAACGTTGTGATTTCTAGTCAAATTCTCCTCGTTAGCGCCAGATGAACGGTAAAGGAATGGGTATGGAGAATGTGCATGTTAATCTCACGCCATTTACAAGTGTTCCTGTAACAAGCAAAATTGATCTTATAAATGAAAAACGCGAAGGTTATGTCACTTTTAATAGATTTGGAGCCAGCAATGTGACCCTTCAAAAACAAGAAAAAGCGTTCTTCTCTAACTAGGCAACTACAGTACCCTAGTCTGAATCTGGTACCCTTATAACTGCAATAGGAAATCTGCAAGTAGCACTGTAAATCATACTAAAATACTACCGATGCGACCGAAAACTTGTGATAGAATCGAGAAATCAGCCGAAAGATCAAAACAAGGTGATATCTTGCGTGTCCTAAGGCAGCTGAAAGACTTTTTCTCCACAATGAAATATACTTACATCCTCTTACTTGAGACATCACAAGAGTCCCAGGGACATTTCCAGGAGATCTCCATCAGTTTTCAACTTGAACCAAAAGTCACTTGACAAGATGAACCAAACAAACATTGTTTTCCCGGCCTATTGACGATTAGTAATTCCATCAGGTCGTGTTTCTTTCGCAGGCAAGGTTACGTAATTCAAACTATTTCCAATCCAGTCTTAAAATCAGGCTGTTAAATGTCCCCAAAGTCCATGACCAATAAAGAAAATTCTCCAACTTCAGAGGAAGAGCAGTTTGCAACTTCATGGTCTGTTTATCCACTGCATTAAAGAAAAGGAACGTACTATAAGTAGACTAACTGGCGAAGTTGAATGTGCGAAAAAGCGTCCTGTGGGTCTCAAAGTGTGGAGAAGTTGATCCTGAGTAGTGACAAATGTATAATCATAAATTTCGCTTGTTTCTTCGCACACGTCCTTTTTTTCCCTTTTTTTTTTCTTATGTGAATGCATCCTTTTCTAAAAGTGCTTATGTTGAGTCAAGAATTTTATAAAAGTAAGAAGAAAGAAAATTGTGCTCATCTAATTCCGACTCAGGAAAGTTATTTCAAAAACTTTTTCCTCTGAAACAAAGTCCAGGAAAAGAAAAAAAATTATAAGAAAAGCGAAGGAAGAGGGGTGGAGAGAAAGCGAAAAGGAAAGGGCTAGACTGCTGTGCCACTTTTAAACTTAAAAACTATCTCGAAATTTTGCTTTCTACGGATGCCTAAAATTCGCAAGCTGAACAAAAGGATCGCGGCCGTCATCGCGACCTCCCTTCGATGGGTTTTGCGGTAAGGATCCGGTAACTTAACTGCATTGGAAGATCTGCAAGGACACTCATAACAAAAGTGTGCGAAGGGGCGACTGAAAAATGTAAGACAACTGATGATATACACTGGTCTTACGGTAGGAGTTTTAGGGCTAAGACGACATTCCCATAGCTTTTGAATC